AAGCAGATTTTTCATACATGTTAAAGCAGGTTTTTTTTTACAACCAAAGTGAATTTATATTATGAATAAAATCATTTCAGCTAATATGTTGTGATAACTGTGAACTTTCATAGGCTTCTGGTTGCCATACTTGTTTTTCCAAGTATCTGGAAACGAGGCCAGATGCAATTCTAGCACAAATTGCAAATATGGCATCATTACTGGTGGAAAGACTGGGCAATGGTGTTATACAATCTGCCAACACAGTGATCAGTTTTCTCATCTCCACTTCTGATTGGTTGTCAAGTTTCATTCTGAACAAAAGAAGGGTTTTTTTTTTCTTAGATGAATCAAGGTCACTCAGCCACAAGCTGCAGGACAGGGGCTATCCAGAGTCTGCTGTTAACAACTTCAGTTATGTTGCCCATATATGATGCAATGACCCATTTTTTAAAATGGGAAAGAACTATTAATGACAGACTGAGCTGCAATTTGACTTATCAAGTGGTATCAGAAAGCACTGATAAACTTTTATTTCTTTTGAAGTAACTCATAGCATTTGTGGTATACTAATAAGAAGTGACTTCAGAACACAACAACATGCCCATCCCAGCATGATGCCAGCAGCAACATTCCTTAGGTGTCACCACTCATGTGTTATACTTACTGTAGTGCACATTTAAGATAACTGAATTTGTGGATCATAATGAAAAATACACATCCTAAATATGTTTTCAATTTGTCGGTTTGAATCCAGCCTGGGGAGAGTGTGGATGAGCTCCCTCTATCAGCTCCAGCTCCCCATGTGGAGACATGAGAGAGGCCTCCCATAAGGATGGTAAAAAACATTTTTTTTGAAAAACCATCCGGGCATCCCCTGAGCAACATCCTTGCAGACAGCCAATTCTCTCACCCCAGATGCGACTTGCAGTTTCTCAAGTTGCTCCTGACAAGAAAAAAAAAACTTGTAACACTACATATGTGATTTATGTGCTTCTGAATTAACTGTGAAAACAGGAAACTATGGATGACAGGAATCCCTATTATCCATGACTACATTATTGTACTGTAAATGCCTTAGTTAAATAAGTGCTGGTGATCAATCTTGCAAAGGAAAGTTGTGTATTATTTTGAGATGTCATTATCTTCTCCAGCATCCTGTCTGATAATAGAGTGGCTATTAACATTTCCTTCCTTTATATTGCTTGGTTAGAGCTCATACATTGTTACCAGGGATTTAAGGTACTGGCCTAATCAAGACCAACAAACAGATAATTTTGACTCCTCTTAGCAATTGGTGATATCCTTGTGGTCATCATGAATTTTTTGCTGATGTACTTTGTCTCGTCCCTGTTACAATGGCAGTTCTGTCACCATGAATCACCATGACTCTGTCAGGTTTCCATATTTTGTAAAGAATAGCTTGCAGGTACTACTTTGGTGTAGCATTAAACCATTTCTCGCCACTTCCAAAATGACACCTCAGTACACAAGGATTTCTGTCCAAAATAATCTGAAATTGGTTATAAATAACATGTTGGCATCTATTGATACTAAATTCTTACAGTTTATTATGGATATTAAACATGTTCTGTGCAGAGCAAATGAGATTCTAGGTCACAGAGGTGCTAGGAGAACCTGACAAATGCCAACACTAGTATTTGACAATCATTTTCAGCTTAAGCATCTCTGGATCTGTAAATGCTTGGGAAAAATAGACCTTTAACTTGAACACTCCCTGATGTTCTTAGAATTCTTTCTCATCTGTATCTGCTAGTAGTGCTTGCTGTAGTATCTCAGTTTGAATCCTTCAGTACAAGTCTGGGTGTTTCTCTTAAAAGCTATTTTAGCTTTGCAAAGGTGTCATCTTTGTTATGACAAAAATCAAACAATTGTACTTTTAGGAATTCAGATTTTCTGAAAGACTGTATCTTTTCATACAAACTGACCTACCTTCTTGACCACCTTCCATTGTCTAGGGGGAGGCTGACCTATCACATGTAGAGATTGGACAAGGGGAGAGATTGGATTTTGTCAATTAAAAAGTAGAGTTCTTTAGGTCTAACTGGTTCAAACAGACCTTACCTTGAGACAGAATTAACAAACCCCATAATTACAAAATAAAGGAACATTTTTGACAGCAATGGAAAATACCAATGATCTTGTGTGTTTGCTTATTGTGCCTTTGGGATGAGTATCCTCTCTTCCTTTTACTTTTCCTAAATTTGTCAAGCCATCCACCAAGATGTATACTTAATGCCATGAAAAGTAATTTTCTTAAATTCAGCTTTATTTTTTACCTGACTGTGTGTGTATGTATGTATACACACAATATACTGAGAAATAAGTCAAAGTCAACCTCTCCATTGCTCATTGCATTTCACTTCCTTTCTACCCCACATTACTATAGCATGATCAAGTGATTTTGTTTCAGGCTGCAGAAAATAGTTGAGTTCCAAAATACATTCAACGGTTACCCGCAGGTTGATTAAATGTTGCTTGCAGCCTTGTTGCTAGGCATCTGTGATTCCACTTTCCCTTATGATGGTCTGTGAAATAACCAACAAAGGAATGCAGCAGGGTGGAGCCAAAGAAACAAAGACACTGGATTCCATAGAGAGAAGAAAGAGGTCTATCAAACGACTTGATTTGTCCTCAATATATGTCTTTTTAAAAAAGCACACCCATGAAGGAACAGCCAAACTGACTGAAGACAAATCACTTATCAGTGCCAACAGGTAATCAGCATTCAATACAGCCTCCTTTGCTGGCAAAACATGCCAGGGCTCTTGGACCTATGAGGCTGCAGACGCTCTGGCAGCCTCCTCATCCCCACTTTTTGGAAGCTAATGTCCCATTGGCACACATGTCTGATTCATGTTGTCTCCCATTCCCTTAGTCATAGACTTATCTGGGTGTTGCAGTGAAATTTTAGAAGACAATATTTTGTGGAGAAATGAAACATGAAGCAGAATTCTCCTATTCAGCTGCTGGTGCCAATTAAGCCTGTGGCCAAGAAAGACATTGTCTAGCACCTTCTGATGGAAGTGGTGCCATTCATACCTAGGACAATTTCTGCATATCATTGTTATTGTTGTTTTTAAAAAACTGAAACCACTTTTCAGTTTAATGTTTTTAAACTGTCTGTCTGCTACCAAGCAGAATTCAAAGTGATGGTTTTAGCCTATAAAGCCCCAAATTGTTCTGGCCCAGCTACCTGTCCAAACGCATCTCCCTTTATGAACCAACTCGGAGGTTAAGATTGTCTTGGGAGGCCCAGCTCTTGGTCCCACCTGCTTCAAAGGTGCAATAGTGGGGATGAGGGAAAGACCTTCGCAGTGGTGGCCCCTCGGCTATGGAACTCCCTCTCCAGTGAAATTAGGTCAGCTCCCTCCCTCCTGACCTTCAGAAAGCAAGTAAAAACATGGCTCTGGGACCAAGCCTTTGGCCAATAGTGCAGTGCAATAAGTGAAGATGGAATATGTACAATAGCAACTGGAATGGCTTTTTTTTTACTATGATCTTGAATTGTGTGATTTTAATAATGTGTTTAATAATGTGTATGACTTCAAATGCATGTTTTAATATATATGTTTATTTTATATTTGTTTTTGATATGACATTGAATGTTGCATTTTGTATGGCCTCTCGAAGACCAGTTCGGGGTGAAAAAGTCAGGATATAAATACTGTAAAAAAAAAAAAAGGCTTTATATGCTTTTTGGTCTGTACAATGTGAAAATGAGCAGTACACCCAGATAACAATCCCATGTGCCTCAGAATGACATCTGATTCCCCAGGGAAAATAGGATTGCCATGGGATTGTCATGTAGAGCTCTGTTAGTCCTGGCCTTCCAGGTATGGCAACAGAAAGCTTAGCCACTGCCATTGCTCCAATGGTAGAGGAACCAGAAATTGGAGTTTCTGGGAACATGTCAAATGAAGCCAGAGATCTTTAGAGTCTTATGACATTTGTTCTCCTGATATAGACCATAACCACTACACGTACCAAGATCTATGCTCTTCCACTGGTGTTAATGAGAAAGAAGAGACACCGGGGGAGTAAAGCAGCATCTGCTCTGCTAAGTGTGAGTTGGGCTTCCCTAACATAGATTCTACCCTACCCAAATATTTTTTTTTCCAACTTCAACATTACACCCACTTTCTTGAGTTCTGAGTTGAGACTAAACTAAATGTGATGTCTATAGTATATAACTGTGCTATACACCACACTTTGATAGACTGTATTGTCGAAGGCTTTCATGGCCAGAATTACTGGGTTGTTGTAGGTTTTTCAGGCTATATGGCAGCCTGAATGTAGAAGCATTCTCTCCTGATGTTTCACCTGCATCTATGGCAGGCATAGATGCAGGTGACAGGTTGTTGTAGGTTTTTCGGGCTAGATGGTCATGTTCTAGAAGCATTCTCTTCTGACATTTCACCTGCATCTATGGCAAACATCCTCAGACGTTTCGCCCGCATCTATGACAAGCATCTATCAAAGCATCCTTTGATAGATTGTTCACCAATTTGTAAGTCTCCAGATATAACCACATGTTGTCAAATACATCAACTCACATCAGACCTGGCCAGCATTGCCAATGGTGAAGAGTGAGGGGAGTTGCAATTCAACAACTTTTGGAAGGATGCACATTTCTCATTCCTGTTCTTATTAATGAATTGCCATAAAATTTCTAAGTCTTCAGTGAATAGCTCTGCTTATCTTTTTTTACATTAGTAAATACTAGCCATTTCAATACAAGTGAAAATTAAATTCTGCCACCATATCAGATCAATAAATGTTCCTCCGGTACTGAAAATTTGAAAGTGTAGTTTCTATTCTATTAAGTTTTATTTGCTGATAATACTAATAAGAGTAGCAGTGAAAGAGAAGGCTTTAATATGAGATCTGGCTGCCGTTTTGTTTTTAGACTATGCTGACATGGTTTATCCATTATTTGATGTATATAAAAATTGCACTCAATTTCTCCTTGAAGAAGGACAGGAAGCATTAACTCTTGTGGTATTTCTAATGAAATGTTATTATTCTGCACAGTAATCAAAACATGCATTATATATTATGGAAGTGTGACTACTAAATATATTTAGTGTATTGTTCCTTATATGTTCTACATTAAATATTTTGGAGATGAGATGAAAATGCAGCTACAGTTCTAAAATGCATTTTGTTAAAAGAATTACAATTATTTATTTACTATATTTCTATACCGTCCCTCTCAGACTGCAGGTGACTTGGGACGGTTTACAATTGGTGCCAAGACCATAAAATACAATTTCAATACAATAAAAACAATCGGATAATAAAACTATAACAAAATCAATAAAAACATGAACATTAAGGTCTCCTATTAAAAACATTGTCCATGAACTCATAGAAATCTTGGCCTAATTCCCATACATACTTAAGTTTCCTTGTGAAAGTGGTTGGTTGGAGATTTTTGCCGAAACCAGAATGTCTACATTCAGTTAAACATTGCAAAAGTGGAGTTAAGTATGCAGTGTCAGACTGTGCAAAAGTGCATTCAGATTCATATGAGATGCAGAATTGCATTCAGTTCTGCTCTTGACTGTACATTTGGGTGAGCCTTCAGTTGTGCAGTGTCACAATTTAACACAAGCATTGCATGGTGCAATCAGTGTACGACTCCCATGCAGAGTTTTAGACAATGCAACCCTGATGTAGGGTTTAGCCACCATCTTTCTTTATTGTAGTTCCACTGTGCATTCTGTATGCTGCTGTGAGTGGCCATTCTTCTTTCTCTTGGTCCGGGATCATGTTCTTTCATGCTTGTTAGTATTCTGAATCTCAACCAGAATTGTTGTCTGCAAGTTGCCATTCTGTTTCAGACTCATATAGGGAAACTCTCATGCTTTTGGAAGTATTCAAGGAGAAGTATAGTCTTGTGATCACGGCAAGCAGCTTATGTTGCTTCTCTTTGACCATTGTTCATCATGTTGGGAAGGAAAAGACTAGCATGAGTTTCTGGGGGATAGCAATCAAATGTCCTAAATTTAATCCTAATCTGATATTAAAAAACATGTTTATATTGTGATGGCTGTAACAAAGTAGGCACTCAATCAAACCATCTTTGGCAACAGTTTTTAAATATGGTGCTGTGTCTTTCATTAGCTAAAAGGTCTTTAAGATCCAAATCAGGGGTGAGAATCACATGCCTTTGCGCTCCAACTCCCATCACTCCTAGTGTACACAGCAGAAATAAAGAAGGCTGAAAGTTGTAGTCCAAAAACTTCTGAAAGGCTGTATAGTTTTGCACAATATTCCAGAAGACAGGAGCAGAATTCAAAATGATCTTAACAGATTAGAGAGATGGGCCAAAACTAACAAAATGAAGTTCAACAGTGACAAATGCAAGATACTCCACTTAGGCAGAAAAAATGAAATGCAAAGATACAGAATGGGGGACGCCTGGCTCGAGAGCAGTATGTGTGAAAAAGATCTTGGAGTCCTCATGGACAAAAAGTTAAACATGAGCCAAAATGTGATGCCGTGGCAAAAAAGCCAATGGGATTTTGGCCTGCATCAATAGGAGTATAGTGTCTACATCCAGGGAAGTCATGCTACCCCTTTATTCTGCCTTGGTTAGACCACAACTGGAATACTGTGTCCAATTCTGGCACCATAATTGAAGAGAATGCTGGAATGTGTCCAGAGGAGGGCGACAAAAATGTTCAAGGGTCTGGAGAACAAGCCCTATGAGGAGCGGCTTAAAGACCTGGGCATGTTTAGCCTGAAGAAGAGAAAGCTGAGAGGAGACATGATAGCCATGTATAAATATGTGAGAGGAAGTCACAAGGAGGAGGGAGCAAGCTTGTTTTCTGCTGCCCTGGAAACTAGGACGCAGAACAATGACTTCAAACTACAAGAAAGGAGATTTCATTTGAACATTAGGAAGAACTTCCTGACTGTGAGAGCCATTCAGCAGTTGAACTCTCTACCCCGGGATGTGGTGGAGGCGCCTTTTTTGGAGGCTTTTAAGCAGAGGCTTGATGTCCATCTGTCGGGGGTGCTTTGAATGCAGTTTTCCTGCTTCTTGGCAGGGGATTGGACTGGATGGCCCATGAGGTCTCTTCCAACTCTATGATTCTATGATTCTTGCCATAAAATCATTTTTATTTAATTGTTAATTTTCTTTGTCTAGTTAATGATGTTTAGTAATCAAAGAAGTGCCGTGCTTATAGAGAACTCATTCTGGTGTTTCTTTGTTTAGGAAATCAACTTTTGCCCTTCCTTTTGTTTGTACAAGAGATCTATAATCTAAATTTAGGAATCCAGAAGAGCATCTAAATTTAGGAGTCCTTGTATCTGTCCTTTAATTTTTGTGGCAAGGTGTTATTTCCTCAATTGACTCATGCCTTCTGGAAATACATTCAGTTTATATTATTGTGGTAGGCTGGACAAAAGTAGAATACAGGCAGTCTCCAATTTACAAACATCCGACTTACAAACTACTCATAGTTTATTATTTTATTTATTTTGAGTATTTTTATCCTGCCCTTCTCAACTCTCTTGGGGGGGGGGGGGGAAGGGGACGGACGACTCACGGCAGTTTCCAGCTGGCAACAATTTGATGCCTCCATATACACATAATAAAATACAGAACAGAAACAAAATTATATATAGTTAAAAACATTAAGTCAATACAATTAAAATCTACTAAAATAAACCAGTCTTGTGGCAATTATCTAGCTGAATTCTGTAGTTGGAGACTCATCAGGCTTGTCCATAGTCCATTACCATAGCAATTGTCATTGTCATAGTCTGCATAGTTACCCAAAGGCCTGGTCCCACTTCCACGTTTTTAACTTCTTTCTAAAGGTGAGGAGGGATGAAGACAGCCTGTGGAGTGAATTCCACAGGTGGAGGGCCACCATCAAGGTTACAAACAGGGATGAGAAAACAGGAAATCTGCCCATAGGAAGGGAAATTCACTCCTGAAAGAATTATCATGAGGAAAAGGCATCTCTACTGATCACTTATCACCAATCCTTGTTTCCACAACAAGCCATTTAAAAAAAATGATCACAAGGACAGAAAGTGAGGTGATATCTTCCAAACAGGGGCACAGACAGCAAAACAAACACCACAGGAGTGTTAACCCTTCCCTATGCTATCTAAAGCTAATATGTATATATATATGACTGAAGTTACACTTAAAAATGTTCTGACTTACATACAAATTTAACTTAAAAAGAAACCTACATGACCTACGCATCTTGTTCATAACTTGGGGACTGCCTGTATTCATACTGTGCTATTTTTAAAAATAGAGAAATGACCAACTCGGTAAATGTCTGGTTAATGACTTACTTTAATTACAGCATTCTTGCAGTCTCTCTGTAAAAGCACCATCAAGTTTAACTGGTTTGTTGCATCTGTTTGGTTGTCCAAGACATGCCTTCTGAATATAAAAGTCACAGTGTAGTCAAGAGTGCTATAAAACTTAGAATGAAAGAAAATTTCATGCTCTCTTTAATTATTGCCAAAACTAAACCACAGTCTATATAACACAGTTCTTCCCATTAAGATCCCTTTTTGCAATCACATCACACCAAGATTTGTTGTTCTGAACCATATTAATGCTCATGACAGGCCCGTAGCCAGGATTTCTTTCGGGGGAGGGGGGGCTGAATTTTTTTCAGGGGGGGTTTCGGGGGGGGGCTGAGTCTGAGTGAAAGAGGGTCTACCCTAGCAAACCTTTTGTATCATTACCCCAATACCCCCATGCATATGGGATATATTGAGTATGGTGATCAGATCATGATATGAATAAACATAACAGTTTAAGTAATGCACCAGTAAGGCCTTTTCGCGAACCACCATGAGAATTTCGGGGGGGGGGATGAAGCCCCCCGAGCCCCCCCCCCCCGGCTACATGCCTGGCTCATGATATCACATGTGCTTCTGCTTAATTATCTCCCCAGACAATATTTCTTCTGACCGTGCACATGGCATCACATTGAACTATTCACTGCTTGGTCAATCTTTTGTTATCAAAATGGTCAAAGTCATGGAGCATTATATATGGCACTGAGTAGGAAAAAAAGATTAATGACCACTTTGGTACTTTAGTTCCCACATAGATATTGTGTAAGCCTTCTAGATGCTTTTGAACTACAGTTCCAAGCAGCCTTAGCGAAAAAGGCCAATGCTGAGAGTTGCAGTCCAACAACATCCAGTTCTGGGTTTCACAGTTTAGGAAAGATATTGACAAACTGGAACATGTCCAGATTAGGGCAACCAAAATGATCAAATGTCCAGAAGCCAAGTGTTATGAGGCAAGGCTTAAAGAGCTGGGTATGTTTAGCCTGAAGAAAAGAAAGTTAAGAGGTAACATGATAGTCACATTTAAATATTTGAAGGGATGTCACATTTAGGAGGGAACATGGAGTGATGGATTGAAACTGCAGAAAAAGAATTTCAGCTGAATATTAGGAAGAACATCCTGATGAATGATGCTGTTCAACTTTGGAATATGCTGCCTTAAAATGTGACAGGGTCTCCTTCTCTGGAGGCTTTTATTGTACTGCTGATTGTCAAAAGCGCTTTGAATTCCTGCATGGCAGAATAGGGTTGGACAGGATGGTCCATGGGGTTTCTCCCAACTCTATGGTTCTGTGATCTGAAGGGCCACTTGAGTCCTACTTCTGCTCTCATGGCAGTCATCTGACTGAAGTTACTTGTCCTATAGCTATCTTTCTGTCTTGCATGTGTCCTTTAATGTGGCACATTGTGGTCTAATTTGCAAAATTAATAGACTGAATGATGACGCAATCCTCTTTAATAGATTCTGTAACATCCAAATGACATTTTGATGAAATACTGTTTGCACAAACTAAATTATCTTTGGCTTGAATCCAACTGTATCCTGCAGAATTGAAATGACGGGTAAAACAGGCTCCCACCCCTTGCCTAGTCATTCTCCTTCACACCTGCCAAATCTGTTCTGAAGAGCTGAGAGCCCTATGGAGCAAATGGGGTGGGTAAGAATGCATGAGGGAGCTATAGGGGGATAAGGAGAGGCTGGGAAAGTCCTGCTGTGTAAGCAGAAGCTTGCTTTCACAAGAGTGGAGATATTCTCTTCCTGTAATTTCTGTTCCCTAAGTTACAGGCAGGTCTTTAGTGTCTGCCTGTTCATTTTTTTTTGGGGGGGGAGGGGGGATATTTCAGAACAAGCTGTAAGTTAAAACATTTCTTGCCATCAGACATTTGCGGAAGAATGAGGGCCACATTGCTGGGGGGGGGGAGGTCATTGGTGGGAGTTGGGGAGAATATTTAGTTTTAAATGTAATTTTAATTGTACAAGTATTTTATTGTATCTTAACTGTATTTTAACATGTATCCATGACACAAATATTTATTTTTATTTTTTGCATTTGCCGTGTTTTTTAATTGAGTGGTTTGTGTCGTGTTATTGTAGGCTACCTTGAGCCTTCATAGGTAGAAAGATGGGGTAGAAATAAAACTAAAATAATAATAATAATAATAATAATAATAATAATGCTTTTTGTTGATTTCTTTTTAATCATCATGCTTTAAACTGCTTTACATTCTATTGTGGGTTATATTTTTAATTTTATATGATACGAATTCCAACTTTGTATCTGTTTTTAGTCTTTGTAAGCCACCATCAGTCCCTGACTGAGAAAAGCAGGTGGTGCTAACAATAGCAACAGTGGATAGGAGCTTTGATACAACTATGTGGAATGCATCTTTGGTGAATACAAGGCCTACAGAATATAAAAGACTTGTGTAACAACTGCTTTTTAAAGTAACTAGAAAGGCACACACTCTTAGCTTCTTTATGCAGCACTCTATGACATTACAAGTAATAGAGCTGTGTGAATGAGAGGCATAGAAAAGGAGGGGATTTTCCAAGACCAGTGGGCTATACAGCCTATTAGAGATTCCATCTATCCATTTCTAATTAGGGGCTCAGGTTTCAATTTTACAATATACTTTATCTGTATTCTTCAAACACGCAGGCCAGATTCCCACCAACCTACTTTATTGTACAACCTCAAGCCATTTCTGATGTATGGTGACCCAATCACAAGGCTTTCTTAGGAAGACTTGTACAGAAAAGTTTTGCCAGTTGATTTCTGTGTAGATGACAAAGTATGACTTGTCAAAGTCACCCAGTTTGGCCATGAAACCTACAGGACCAAACAGGGATTTGACCTTGATCTCTAGAGCTGTAACCCACCAACTAAAAAACCATATACCATGGTTGAGCTTTCTTGCTACACAACGCACAACACAAGTTCACTAAACTCTTTGGCTACTTGCCTTTTAAGTCTTAGAAAAACCCCTCCTTCCACTATTCTTTTCAAGTCATCCAAGAGGCCTTCCTATCCCTTGTCAATGCCAAATTGGTTTTCCTGAGCATTTTATTTTTTGGTATATTACAATCTGTAAATCTTTATTTCTGCTGTAGCTGTTTACTTAAAGAATTGAGATGAAGAGATGTGCCATTCTTTGTTTCTATTTAGCACTGTTGGGCTGACGCTAAACTATAAAACTTACAGGAATCCAACACATCACATTGTGTCACTGCACCGAGGGCGGGTTTGCTCTGTGTATGTTGAAATGCAAGTGCTTCAATGAACAACCCATTAGGTTACACAGAAAATGTAATGTATGGACAGCCCAGTTACCTTTGTTGTCAACTTCAAGTCAACTTCAACTTACGTTGGCCCTATGAATCAGAGATCTCAGTGTCACACTATGCCAGGCATGTGCAAACTTTGGCTCTCCAGGTGTTTTGGGCTTCAACTCCCACAATTCCTAACAGCCTACCAGCTGTTGGGAATTGTGGGAGTTGAAGTCCAAAATACCTGGAGGGTTGAAGTTTGCCCATGCCTGCACTATCCTCAGCAACCATGCTCGGGTATTCCAGGCGCAGGGCCATTGCTTCCCTGATTTAATCTGTCCATCAGGAATGTGGCCTTCCTCTTTCCCTACTGCTGTCCATCTTACCAAGAATTATAATCTTTTCTGGTGAGTCATCTCTTCCTATGATATGACAAAAGTAGAATAATATCAGTTTTGAAATCTTGGCTTCTAGGACAGTTCATACTTGATTTGTTCTAGGACCTAATTATCTATCTTTTTAAAAGTTCATGATCATAGTTGTCTTATCCATGAGGCACTATAAGCACAATGCCTAGGGCCCACAAAGGCAGGGTGAAAACCTTTTTTACCAGAATTGGAAAAAAACTCACAGAAATTCAAAATAAAGATATATTATTCTGGTCCATCGAAATTGAACAGACATTTCTTGAAATTATGTTTATTTTCCCAGGTGAGGTGGGGAATTGAATAAAAGAATGCCTAGGGCCTACAAAAATGCAGCCCTACCCATGGTATCCACAGAACTCCTCTCCAGCACTGTATCTCAAATGAGTTACGACACTTACAACCAGATGTTAAAACAGTATGACACACTGTAAAAATTATTCATTAAAGTAACTAGAAAAGCACACATTCTTAGCTTGCTTTGTGCAGTACTCCACAGTAGGTAAAATTACAAATTGAGCCCCTGATGATGCATTGGGTTAAACCCTTGTGCCGGCAGGACTGCTAACTGAAAGGTTGGTGGTTTGAATCTGGGGAGTGGGGTGAGCTCCCATCTGTCAGCTCCAGCTTTTCATGCAGGGACATGAGAGAAGCCTCCCACAGAATGGTAAAACATAAGGGTGTCCCGTGGGCAATGTCCTTGCAGACAGCCAATTCTCTCAAACCAGAAGCGACTTGCAGTTTCTCAAGTTGTTCCTGACCTGAAATAAAAACATTACAAATAATGCAGCAGAATGCATGAGTGAGTGTGAAAGAGAGAAGCACAGAGGAGGGAATTTTCCAAGACAGATGGGCAATACAGCCTATTAGAGATCACATCTATTCATCTCTAATTTGTGGCTCAAGTTTCAATTTTACAATATACAAGATACCCTATGTGTACTTTTTAAACACTCAGGCCAGATTCCCATCAGTTTACCTTACTGTTTAATTTCAAGTCATTTCTGACTTGAAATATCACTAGGCTTTCTTGGGAAGATTTGTCCAAAAAACATTTGTCAGTCACTTCCTCTGTAGATGGCAAAGAATGACTCACTCAAGGTCACCCAGTTTGGCCATGAAACCTATAGGACTGAATCCTTCTCTAGTGTGATGAAGGTAACGTCTCCAGAACAATAGGAAACAAGCTCAACCCCTCCTTCTGTGATGTCCTTGGAAATCTTGAAACGTGGCTTTCACGTCTCTTCTCACTCTTCTTCTTTCCAAGCTAAACTTACTTACTTAGGTGATCCCTCGTTGGATGAGTAGGATTGTCTTCCAAGATCGGTGTCCTGGTGATGGGTACATAGGTGATTGTGGAGCCCTATTCTTGATCTGCATGTTCTCCCGCAGTGAGGTTATTGGTTTCCAGGTGGAAGGCGGTCCCAGTCAGAGTTGGCTTGATGTGCCTTCCTCTTGGCACGTTTCTCTCTTTCACCATCCATTCGTGCCTCTTCAAATTCTACAGCACTGCTAGTCACAGCTGACCTCCAGCTGGAGTGCTCAAGGGCCAGGGCTTCTCAGTTCTCAGTGTCTATGCCAGAGTTTTTAAGGTTGGCTTTGAGCCCATCTTTAAATCTCTTTTCCTGCCCTCCAACATTCCGTTTTCCGTTCTTGAGTTCAGAGTAGAGCAACTGCTTTGGGAGACGGTGGTTGAGCATCTGGACAACGTGGCGGGTCCAGTGGAGTTGATGGCAGAGGACCATTGTTTCAATGCTGGTGGTCTTTGCCAAGAGATTGCCAAGCTAAACATACTCAGCTCCTTAAGCCATTTCTTGTGGGGCTTGAAAAGGATCATTTGGGTGGTCCTTCTCTGGATAGGTTCCAGTTTGTTAGCATCCTCCCAGAACTGTGGTTTGTTGTTGTTCATTCGTTCAGTCGTCTCCGACTCTTCGTGACCTCATGGACCAGCCTACGCCAGAGCTCCCTGTCGGCCGTTACCACACCCAGCTCCCTCAAGGTCAGTCCAGTCACTTCAAGGATGCCATCCATCCATCTTGCCCTTGGTCGGCCCCTCTTCCTTTTGCCTTCCACTTTCCCCAGCATAATTGTCTTCTCTAGGCTTTCTATTTATTTATTATTGCATCAGAAGTGAACCGAAATCACATTTGTAATGTATTTAAGAAACACAAAGTTTAAAAACTTGGCATTATAGTGTGGTGAGATGTGTTCTATGTGTACTCAGCAGCATGTCTTCACTGCCTCTGGTTGTAATCCCCAGAATTGTGGTGGCACAGGGTTATTTCAGGGGAGGTTTCACCAAAGCAGAAGACAGTGGAACCACAACTTCCCTTGATATGGGCATTAGACTTGTATGGATGCAACCTAGACTAGGCATAGGCAAACTGTCCCTTTAGATGTTTTCTACTTCAACTCCCACCATTCCTAAAGGCATCAGGCTCCTTCCTTTTTCTCTTCAGCCGCTTAAGCCTTTTGGACTTCAACTCCCACCATTCCTAACAGCCTCAAGTCCCAAACAACTCAAGGGCCAAAGTGTGCCTATGCCTGGCTCAGAATCCCCTTGGTTTTCTAAGCTGTTGGCTGAGGTGGACGAAGCTCGAAGGGACTGTTTGCAAGGCGCGTGTCGCGCGTCCTAGTTGTGCGCGCTTCCTTTCCATTGCCTGGATGTTGGGCTGTGTGTTGGAAACCTGGGCTCTTGAGGCTGCAGCGTGGCGGGTTTCCTCTTCCGCCTCCCTCTCTCCTTCCCTCCCTCTTTCCTTGGCGCGGGAACCGGTTCGGCAGCCGAAGCCTCTGACGCCAGGCCTGCCGCCGCTTACCTGAGCCGGGACGCCGGCCACGTGACCCCCCCCCCCTTCCTCCTCCTCCTTCTCGTCCTCCTCCGCGCGAAACCGGCCCCAAGGAGGAAGCAGGCAAGCAGAAGATGACACGCCGCGGCTGAGGGAGGGAGGGAAGGAGGGAGGGAGGCCTGTTGGGGGCAGCGCTGGTGCGGGTCCGCGGTGGCGGGGGGCGCGGGTCCGCGGGGCCCTTGGCCTTGTGCCGGGCCTGGCCCTTGGCGGGCGAGGATGCTGCAGTCGCTGGCGGGCAGCTCGTGCGTGCGGCTGGTGGAGCGGCGCCGCTCGGCCTGGTGCTTCGCGCTCCTGGTCCTGGGCTACCTGCTCTACCTGGTCTTCGGCGCCGTGGTCTTCTCCTCGGTGGAGCTGCCCTACGAGGACCTCCTCCGGCAGGAGCTGCGCAAGCTGAAGCGGCGCTTCGTGGAGGAGCACGCCTGCCTCTCCGAGCAGCAGCTGGAGGGCTTCCTCGCCCGCGTCCTCGAGGCCAGCAACTACGGCGTCTCCGTCCTCAGCAACGCCTCCGGCAACTGGAACTGGGACTTCACCTCCGCCCTCTTCTTCGCCAGCACCGTCCTCTCCACCACCGGTAAGGCCCCCCACAAGGGCCTCCCGTAGCCCCCCCCCCCAAGCCTCGGGGGCTCCCCCTCTCCCTCCCTTCCTCTGGAAGAAACCATGCCCTCCTCAAGGTGAGCGAAGGGTTTCTTCCAGAGTAGGACCCCTAGGGCCCCACCACTAAGGGGAATGAGGTCTTCAAAAGTGGAAGCCAAAGGGGTCTCTTCTGGAGATAGTGCTCTCCCCACAGGGGAATGGTGTCTTCAAGGGTGGAAGCCAAAGGGATCTCTTAAGGAGATAGTGTTCCCTCCAGAGTAGAACCTCAGAGGCCCCACCTCACAGGGGAATGGTGTCTTCAAGGGAGGAGGCCAAAGGAGTATCTTATGGGGATAGCACTCTCCCCATAGGGGAAAGGTGTCTTCAAGGGTGGAAGCCAAAGGGGTCTCTTAAGGAGACATTGTTTCCCTCCAGAGTAGAACCTCAGAACCCGCACCTCACAGGAGAATGCTGTCTTCAAGGGTGGAGGCCAAAGGGGTCTGTTAAAGAGATATTGTTGCCTACAGATTAGAACCTCAGAAGCCCCACCTCACAGGGGAGCGGTGTCTTCAAGGGTAGAGGACAAAGCAGTCTCTTAAGGAGGCATTGTTCCCTCTAGAATAGAACTTCAGAGGACCCACCTCACAGGGGAATGGTGTCTTCAAGGGTAGAATCCAAAGCGAGATATTGTGCCCTCCAGAATAGAACCTTATAAGCCCGACCTCACAGGGGAATTGGTTCTTTAAGGGTGGAAGCCAAAGGAGTTTCTTAAGGGGAAATAATTTCTTCGAGGTAGAAGACTAAAAGGTATCTCATTAGAGAGGCCTAGGGAGGATTTCAAGCCAGGCTGGGTCCCTGAACCTCTAGCCCTGTCCCATGCTGACTCCCAGCACCCCAATTGCTGGTGTTACCCCCTCCCTTCATCCCTTCTTCCAATGAGGCCAAGCCAGAAAACTCAAATAATCCCACCAAATATTTATAATAATATTAATCCTTTATTTATACCCTGCCACCATCTCCTTTAGGGACTCGGGGTGGCTTACAAAATAGCACACAATGGTGCCCTAACACATATGATGCAATACATCAGCATATAAAATCAATAACACATTCATATAAAACCAGACATATAAAATTAAGAAAAGCAACCTCTATTAAATAAAATCTGGAAAATGTGGCTATGGTTATTGATTTAACAACTTCCCTTCCAGAGGCCTGCTGGGCTTCCCCGCAGCTCCCCACCACCACCACCACACCTTTGGCTTTGGCCTTTAAATTGTCCCTAGCAGTTTAAAGACCTAACATACAGTGACTCTATGTTTTCACTGAAACAGAGGGGCCTTTATAGTATGAACTTAATGATGATGAGGCGCAGTTATGAGGAAACACACTACACAAAGCTAGGTTGGATTCAGACCTGAGTTTGCATTGGATTTTGTCCAGTGACCTCATTAAGCAGGGGAAACATTCCTTTGGCTAAGCTGTAGACCAGGCATGGGCAAACTTTGGCCCTCCAGGTGTTTTGGACTTTGAAGTCCCACAAATCCTAGCAGCCGGTAAGCTGACTACAATTTCTGGGAGTTGAAGTCAAAAACACATGGAGGGCTGAAGTTTGCCCATGCCTGCTGTAGACCCAGCTGAAAAGTTGGTCTCTGTACAATGTTGGTAGTGTGTTCAAGCTCATAGTTCAGTGATACTCAACATGTGGATCCCCAGATATTTTGGCTTTCAATTCCCAGAAATCCTAACAGCTAGTAAACTGGGATTTCTGGGACTTGAAGGCCAAAACACCTGGGAACCCACAGGTTGAGAACTACTGTCATACCTGCTATCACTAAGGACAGTTTAAATGTGCCTATTATTAGGACTTGATCAAACAATCAGTCCCCCACCTTCACTAGGGTTGGGGGCATAGACCCACCAGGAAGGAGAAGAACTGAGGAGAACAACTTTCTAGGAATTTCTAGGTCTTCCATCATGATTCTTGGTCAATTTCTGTTGGAAGCTGATGATGGCATTCCATTGGAGGACCTAGAGATTCCTAGAGAGGTCTCTTCTTTAGAAATCTCTACATGTTTGAAGGAAGTCGACCATAGAGTCACACAGAAGGAATTAAATTTTCTTAAGGGATAACATGGTTAATCAAATGCATTAATAATAATCCATCTGCTTTTTTGTCAAACACATAAATGTCAAAACTACAAATATGGAGGGATGACTGTCCTTGATTTTGGCTGTGTGTGATGTCCCATGAAATATTCAAGGGTCGTTGCCACTCATTCCTGGGTCACTACCGCCACAAGTCAGGATTGAACACCTTTCTCCTAAGGAGTGAGTGTCTTTCACCTAAATAAATAGTTTTATCATGGCCTATCTTGAAATGTACAGTGCAGTGTTATGCATATTTACAGAGTAAAGCATCAGGATTGCTGTATTTGAAGGGTCAGTGAGATATGTGTTCCCAGCATTGCAGCCTGAAGCTTTTGTTCTAATAATGGTGGGATGACAGCTCTGTATCAAATTAAGGAGTAAATCCTGGGGGGGGGGAGTGGGGGGGAACATATGTAATTGGTTCAAATTAGTACATTTCTTAGAGTTGCAGAGCTGTTTTCAAAAAGATGTTGATATAGGAACATAAACTTTTTTCACTTGCCACCTCATCACACTAGAGAATGAATCCACTTTAAATCCAGTTGCTGCCTCCTGCAGAATTCTGGGGTTTGTAGTTTAGGGAGGAGACTTTAATAGCCTCACTAAACTACAAACCCCAGAATTCTGCAGGAGGCAGAAACCGGATTTTAAGTGGATTCATTCTCTAGTGTGATGAAGTAGTTGGTTCTGGAATAATGGAAGGTCTCAATCTGGAATCAGATTTTAGCCTATAAATGAACTGCTTTGCCTTCCATTGTGCCCTACATGGAAATATCTAGTAAAACGTTAATTGTAAATGACAACAGAGCAACTGACAGAGCCTGTTAAGTTTAAATGTTATCGGTTAGCTTAACTGGCAGAACCGGAAAATTCAGAAGCCACTGTTTCCGCAGAAGGAGACCACAAGTTTTGTGAGTCTCCTTCAAAGGCTGAGAAAACCTCAAAGACCAATGAGAGAAGATGTAAATGTGAGCTGTGTTTCCTTGCTTTTCAGCTAAGGTGACCTGATGAGGACATGGGTATTAGATTGCAAGCTGCAATGGAAAAACTGATTGCTCATGATGTCTGTCTGAAGGGGGAAAGCACACCCATAACTAATTAATTGCATGCTTGCAGATTAGACAGTTTGTGTTTCTGTAGCTATTTTGTACTATGCTGTGACTCTTAGTGCTTTAAATAAACATCATTTCATGATTTTTGCAAGAATTCTACATGGTCCAGTGAAGTTTAGATCGCTCCATCTTGCTGCTCTTAATATAGAAACTTTTCTTGGATAGGATATTGCCTTTTCATAATTTAGTAGTTTCATGAAACAAATGAAAACACTAGTTTCACCTCCTGTACGGAAGTCTATGTTGTAGTTTCTTTGCGATGCTAATTTGTGGCGGCTGGAAATTACTATTGATATAAGGTTTCACTTTTGGATGGTGATACAGAACTATTGTTCTCTTACTGCAATGTTTATTTTTGGCGCTTTCTCCATTTGATCATTTTCTTTCTATATAGACTCATAGAGTTGAAAGAAACCTCATGGGCCATCCAGTCCAACCCCCTGCCAAGAAGCAGGAAAATCACATTCAAAGCACCCCCAACAGATAGCCATCTAGCCTCTGTTTCAAAGCCTCCAAAGAGCCTCCAAAGCCTCCACAACACTCTGGGGCAGAGAGTTCCACTGCTGAACAGCTCTCACAGTCAGGAAGTTCTTCCTAATGTTCAGGTGGAATATCCTTTTCTGTAGTTTGAAACCAGTGCACTGCGTCTTAGTCTCCAGGGCAGCAGTAAGCAAGCTTGCTCTCTCCACCCTATGGCTTCCCCTCACATATTTATGCATGGCCATCATGTCTCTTCTCAGCCTTCTCTTCTGAAGGCTAAACATGCCCAGTTCTTTAAGCCACTCCTCATAGGGCTTGTCCTCCAGTCCCTTGATCATTTTAGTTGCCCTCCTCTGGACACATTCCAGCTTGTCAACTTCTCCCTTCAATTATGGTGCCCAGAAATGGATACAGTATTTCAGATGTGGCCTAACCAAGGCAGAATAGAGGGGTAGCATGACTTCCCTAGATCTAAACACTATATTCCTGTTTATGCAGACCAAAATCCCATTGGCTTTTTTTGTTACTGCACGACATTCCTGGCTCATGTTTAACTTGTTGTCCATGAGGACTCCAAGATCTTTTTCATACATACTGCTCTCAAGCCAGATGTCCCCCATTCTGTATCTTTTCATTTAATATATGAAAGGCTTATTGCCACATTACAAGTCCAGCTTCACCAGGATTTGGCCTAATTTCTTGTGTGGTTTGTGCCCTCATCCCCAAATATTACATTGTCTGTAGCATGTTAAGGATGAAAAACATGCAGAAAGAGGTATTCTACAACTGATCTTCACAGCATCTCACATGTCCAACTATATCAGTGGTTCTCAAGATGTTTTTGGCCTTCAACTCCCAGAAATCCTAACAACTGGTAAACTGGCCTCGGATTGCTGGGAATTGTAGGCCAAAAACATCTGGGGATCCCAGGTTGAGAACCACTGAACTATACGGATCAAATGCTGCAGTATGGCCCATATAAGAAGAGGACTGTGTTTCTAGTCCACGTGGAAAAGAAGAATAGTAGTATAGCTTTAATAGACGTAAGAAGAAATTTAAGAAGGGAGAGAAGGAAAAGTGTCTCTCTAGCCCCAAGTGCCTCTCTAGCCCCAAGACTTTGTCATTTTAGCCCTAAACCTCTTCTCGAAAACATCAGAAGGGGACTGATAGGGAAGAGAATGTGGGAATTGGGAGAAGAAAATAATTGTTCTGAATGCCAGTGGGGAAGAGAAGGAGTCATCCAATACTAATTACA